AAAATAAAATATTTATGTATATAATGTGTGCCTTAACAAGTTGATGGCTATTTTATGTGAATGTTTGTTTTAACGGTATTATGTGTAAACGGAATTCATCAAGATGGTATTGGTGCTTGGGGTGCGATAATATTTGGTCAACTTAGTGGAGTTTTTTAATTATGAATGCTGGGCTAATTATCTTGGTTATGTGGTTGAGAAGAATCAAACACAACATATATATTGTTGCGTCCTAGAATATTCACGGCGATAGAGAAATATATATAGTTTAACGTTTTAGTATTACACGAAGATCTAACATGCATACAGATAAAAAGAGAGGATGGTGGTATTCTTAAGAGACACTAATATTTTTACGTGAAAAATTCTGAAATAGTGAAAAATCATGGGGGCCGACCTAGTTTGAATAAATCCACCATACGACCATTCCTTGGTGGAAGACCATGGGTGGATGTATAAAATATACATCATATAAAATGCATTACATGATGAGACTTGAAAGAATCACTATTGATATGTTTGTTGGTCGGTAGAACCATAGTCGGCAGATGACGAAGGTCGGAAATACCATAGTTTGGTGACGGTGGACGGAGGGATCGACACTATAGAAAAATTGCCTATTACCGGTGGAATTTTCGGGGTATTCTGATGTTTTTTGGTTTTTTCTTATTTAAATATATAATAGTATGATTGATAACATATTTTACTATGTAGCATACTGGTTGAGTGGATGATATAAGCACAGGTAGGGAGTTTGAATTCCATGGGCTACGCCCATCCATCGAGCAGCAGCGCATGGGCTCGAGCGAGCAAGTCAGGTGGGACTCCAGTGAGCAGCGCATGCAGGGCGCGCGCGGGGGTCGAGCAGCCTCCAGCCGGTACGTCTGGCGGGGTTAGGCAGCCTTCAGTAGGCAAGTTGGGCGGCTCCAGCCGGCAACATTTTTTTAATGAATTTTATTTATTCTTGTTTCCACCGGAAATTTTTTCAGAGTATTTTTTCGTCGGAAAAGTTTTACGACGCTCAATTTAACGCCAAAAAGAATTTCCGTAGGAAGTTCACCACAAACTTCCAAATCCACCGAAAAATTAAGAAATTGTCTGGCGGGGTTAGGCAGCCTTCAGTAGGCAGGTTGGGCGGCTCCAGCCGGCAACATTTTTTTAATGAATTTTATTTATTCTTGTTTCCACCGGAAGTTTTTTCGGACTATTTTTTCGTCGGAAAACTTTTACTACGCTCAATTTAACGCCAAAAAAATTTCCGCCGGAAGTTCACCACAAACTTCCAAATCCACCGAAAAATTAAGAAATTTCCACCGAAAAATCCACCGATATATATTTAAAGAGCCGAGATATTTAACTCATAGTTAAGCGGTGAAAGCTAATGCATGTTTGTTTAAATACTTCAATTTAAAACTTAAGCTGCTTAATTAATGTATGCTGAATTGTACACAAAGTAGGTTTAAACCTATGAGCTCACTAGTTGTTGACTAAGAAGATGATTGGAGATGTGTATATTTCAAAGTGTCATGCGCTTGTTGCAGCATCACAGTTAGCCATCACTTGGGTATCAACCTCACTTACAGGGACCACAACTAAACTGTTGGTAATCGAAATAATATATCTTTTTTCTTACAGAATGATTTCATTTTGTAAGAAGCAGTCGCATGCAAAAATTATTATGTTCTTTTTGGTTCTGAATGGCCAGGGTTGGATGCCTTAATCTGTCAAAGTTCCTATAATATTACTGTTTTAATATGTTGCTTATGTGTATATGAGATTGTTTTGGACAGTTAGATTTTGTGTGTTTTAAAAAAAAAATTTGAACATCTGTGGCGGTTATAACCGCCACAAAAGTCTAGAATTGAGGCTGTAATTAAAACCGCCACAATGCTTGAAATTAATTTATCTGGATAGAATTTAAAGGCAATTCTGGACTTTTGTGGTGGTTATAACCGCTGCTAAATCCAACACTTCATTAGATCTACCTCGCCGGTCCTAAACCATTGCGGAATGTCATTGCAGCACATTACAATTATAGCGGGGGTGCAGCAGTTTTAAAACTGTCAGGATAGGCCAAAAAATTTGCTGCAATGGACCTATTTTTTTGGTAGTACTATCTTAAGAAAAGTTTTCATAATTTATTTTAATATATTGAAATTGTTAATTATTGATTTAAATTATATTTCAAGTATTAGAAATAATTAATCAATCCTGAAAAACATAAATATTTTTTAGGTATGTGAACATGAAGATTTGAACTATTGCATACATTGTTTTTTATTTTCTTATCACTTACAATAACTTTCAAGATATATTTCAAATAAGTTTACTATTTTTGCTAATTATTACAAATTTTGCATAAATTATGTGAAATAGTAAATTATTTTTGAAATATTATGAAATTTTATCAAGATTCAAAATCCATTGATTTTTCACCAAAATAATTATTATAAACCTTATTTTGCAATTTTGTATATTTAATTAAATTCTTAATTAATTTTTATAAAACATCCTTCAAGTTATCATAAATCATATGCATTATGTTAGTTTGCAATGATTTTAATAAAATTCTCTAAATGTATTTTTTATTTCTTATTATTATTACAAATCATGCATTAATTAGTAAAAATAGTAAAAATATCCTAAAAATTATGATTTTTTTATTGTTAATTTATTGTGAAACGCACCATATTTTTCTCATTTCCAAATGGTCATTAGACCATCAAAATTTAATTCTCAAAAGTCAATTTTTGTATGTTTTCCTTATTTTATTAGAAAATTTAGGGTTCGTTTGGGACGGCTTTTTTATTGCTTTATAAAATAGAGTTTTAGTACAATTTTTTTTTATTTTTGTATTAAAACTTCGTTTTAGAAAGCAATAAAAAAGCCGTCCCAAACGAAGCCTTAGACTTCATTTGGGACAACTTTCTTATTGTTTTACTTTTCAAATTACAATCACAATTTCTTTTTGAGTACTGATGTTTCACTACTTTCAAAAAGTTGTGTTGCTTTCTACACCACAATTCAAAATAGTTATCTTCTCAACAACAACTTTACAATCATTTTTATAAAAAAGCTACAACCATCCCAAATATGCCCTTAATTAAAATCATTGATATCAGTCACTCAGTGTTCGCACTTCAAATTAATTCTGATAAATGAAGAATCCTATTTTAGGCTTTCTCAAATATTTTTGGACTTTTCATCTATTGAAGGGCGCCGTGTAGGAAAGAAACCAACAAGAGCAAATTGAAAAGGAACAGACAGAGCTACAATTTCTTCCTCCGATATCCATAAAGAGGGTAAACCACGACAAAAAACCTTTCTTAACTCAGGAAAATCAACTGAAATTGAAGAACCAGATAAAGCTTCCACAAAAGAAAGCGATTTAAAGGCCCCATCCAAAAAACCGGTGTCACAAACACGACTACCCACCATAACGAAAAGAAAAAACGAAGGCAGAAATAGAAGAGGGCAAACAAAGAGAAACTCCATAGAGATCAGCAATCCGAAGCCAAGATCCAAGCCCCTGCAAAGCTAGGGCAAAGCCCTAGCGGCGGAGACGATGCCCTAAAATCGCAAAAGTGGAGGCGAAGCGTGGAAAGAAAAATTAATATTGATTCCATAAAATTTTCAATTTCCTTAGATGTTTTTAAACCCAAAATTATATATTTTAAAGTTTAATATATTTAATGTTAATTGCTAACATTTAATCTCCTTATTTAAAAAAAAAGAGTAAAAATTAAGGGTCCGTTCCAAATGACAGTAACTTTTTATAAAGATAATTATAAAACTATTGTGGAGAGAGAAACTTTTTTGAAAGTTGCTGCAATAAACATCTGTTCAGCATAAAAACTTCCTTAAAATACCGAAAAATATAGTAACAAAGAAAATACTAAGAAAACTGTTCCAAACAAAACCTAAATAATCTTCTATAATCTAGTAGATCTTCTACTTAGGTTTTCCTATCACCTATCAGACATATCTCATATTTGGACAAATATGAGATCTAGCTAAGCCTATCCAAATCATTTTGACTGAACACCCTCTATCATAAACATCCCACATTTGTCTAAAGAAAGACTAATTTCATGCTCTGAGTTTGAACCAATCTACCTATTCCAACTAGTCTATCAATTTCAACTAGCCAATTACTGAATAGTCCTCTATTTTCATATAGTTATTCAGTCAGTGAGTACTTAACCAATCATTTGATTAATGAAAGTTAATCAATCAACATTCAACCTTTTTCTTAGTTGATCATATTTACTATAAGAAATAGTTCTCAATTTCCAACAATTTCCTTCTTTGCACTATTTAGATCACTTATTATTTAGTAATAAGTAGAACAAACCCAAGTCTTAAGTGCTTAAATTACATATCCAATATGACTTTCAACAATGCAAGTAACTTACGCTTCGTAATTGTTGTGCTAGAAAACGGTTTTAAGAAGCAGTAAGAAAGTCCTCCCAAATGAAAACCTTAGACAATATCACCTTAGTCAATTTATTTGCACTATATTCAAAATTAATATCTTTTCAAATGTTTTTAATTACATCCATTCAAAATCTATATCCAATTCTATTTCAAAAATCAAAAGATCTTTAAAATCCATTTTCAAACTACACTTATCCACATTTTGATCTCACACACTATATGCTATAATAGGTATAATCTTTGATGACAGTTTAAAGCAGAATGAACGATTTTTTTGCTGCTTTTTAAAGCAGTTTTTTAGTACAAAAATTTAATTTTTTGTATAAAAAATTGTTTTAGGAGCTGTAGTTAAGAGTGACACACCATTTATTTTTTTTTAAAGAGTGGTACGCCATCTCATTGATATGATTTATACTTCGTTTGAGATTGCTTTTTTGATGTTTTTTAAAACAGCTTTCTAGTACAAAAAATTCTAATTCAAAAAAATTTTGTGCTAAAAAACTGCATTAGAAAGCAACAAGAAAGCCGTCCCAAACAAAACTTTAGACTCAACTGGTTGCAACTTGAGAGAGGAAAACTGTCTTTCACTGAACTTTGAAAATATTTTACAAGATAAAGAAAACTTAGAAGTAAATATCAATGTAGCTATGGTGATCAACTGAATCGCTTATTTCATCATGCCCATCCCTATAAAATAAATAACCAAAAAAAAAAAAAAGTTTGATTCTATACCTGAATTTAACAAATGAAAGAGCTCTCCTGTAAATGCTGAAACCTCTGATTTTCTTCCATGTCTTCCAGTGAATTGATAGAAATATTCTAGTCTGATAAGCCGCTCTCTTCTGATAGGGATTTTTAGAAAGAAATGAATCAAGTGTGGATGTTCAAGGATGTATCATACCCATTTCTATGTGACTTCTGCCATCTCCATGCAATCCGAAGGCTCTGTTCAAGGTCAGTGTACTTTGCTGTCCAGTTGAGTTCCTTATTGATCTTGGAAGGGTCACTGTAAACTTCAGCATAATCCCCAGGTCTTCTTTCCAAGTAATCCACTTTGATGTCCACACCTGTAGCTTTCTTGCAAGCTTCTACAAATTCCTTCACTGATCTTCCTGATAACACAATTTAAATGCAAGTTTATAAATAAACCATACTAAAACAGGAAGAATTGCTCAAAAATAGTTTATGGCTCATCTCGAACAAGTACAATGCGTAGGCATGCATATATAGGTGAAATTATTAGGTGCGGACACCGAACGCCGTCCAGAACACAATAAAAATGCACCACGTCACCCCTACTCGGTACCGAGCTCGGTACTGGATGACGTGGCTGCACCTGATTCGCCTCTGGACGGTAAGTTGTGTCCGATGCCCGCACAAAATAATCTCTCAATATATAGACACAAATATGTATTTATAAGTGTAGTCATACATACATGCATTTATTTATGTATATATCTAAATCTATGGAGGCATGTGTACATAACTATAATTTATCTTCAATAAAAAAAATGATCAAAATTATGTTAAATTTTGTCTCTGATATTAACTCAGATCAAATATAATGAGGTGAGTCACGTTCAAATAGGAATCGGAGTGAGTCAGCCACCAACTAGAGCTCCATTGCCCGAGATCAGAATGAATGGTTTTGAGTCAATCCTGAGCAAGATTCAGATCAACTCAATAATAGGGAAAATTATTAGGTGCGGAGACCAAACATAGAGGTACGTCTGGACTCCAATAAAATGTTGAAACGTGGAGTGGACATGTTGGATTTATTTTTTACTTTATATATTTAATTTGTATGTGGAACTTTAAGCCAAGCGTGTCAAAAACTCAGCCAAATAGCATGTAAAACTAAGTCAAAGCGCAGTAAAAAAGCACAATAAAAAAGCAGTCAAAGTGCAGGTAAAGCGTAGGTAAAGCGCAGTCAAAGCGTAGTAAGAAAATGTAACAAAAGAGCAGTCAAAACGCAACTAAAATGCAACTAAAGTGCAGGTAAAGCGAACAAAAAGCACAACCAAAGTGCACTACACGTGTCAAATTTTAAGTAGATGTTCAGACGTATTTCTATGTCCGGTCTTTGCACCTAATAATTTTCCCAAGAGGAAATAGATGGTTAAAATCCCAATCAACAAATGGCATAAAGAAATAGGAGACATTTCCTGACCTTTTCCCGTTCCAACATTGTAGATTCCAACATTTTTAGGCCTTGCCTTGTCGAGAGCTTTTACATGAGCATCAACTAAGTCCGTTACATCAATATAGTCTCTTATACAAGTACCATCACGCGTGTGGTAGTCTGTTCCTTTGACCTGCAAAATGGAAATAAAAACTTGTTAGGATCTTGAATGAGGAAGAAGCCCTTCCTTCATCAGCTTCTTGGGAGAGGAGGGAGAGAGGGAAGAGGACAGAGAGAGTACTAAATCAGAATTTCTTGTTGCTTAACCATACTCTATTACAACCTAAAACCTCTATTAAAAGACTCAAAATGCTACATCAATGACAATACAAGCCACTCAAAAAAACTAAAGAAAGTACACATTAAAAACTACCTAAATCTTGGACCAATATCCAACAAAACAAAAATGCAGTTGAATTCACCATACGGAAGGTTAAGCAAAGTTCATTGTTTACCTTCAGTCCAGGTATGATTCCTCGAGCAGCATCAAAGCATGCACCAGAGATACGCCCCTGTTCCCGAAGCTCAGGTCGGGGAGCTTCACCTAACCTTCCTTCTGGATCGGATCCAATGACATTGAAGTATCTGATAATGGTGACATTATGAGGAAAAAAAATAGACAATCATCATGTGTACTATATTATTTTTAATTGAGGAGATTTCACAGTTGACTGAAATAAACCTCAGAATCATGACAGCCATGTCTGTAGTCTTTGAGAAGTCAAGGATCATATCCTCAGCCATTTTCTTCGCCTTCCCATATGGATTAATTGGGAACTGCATGATTAAAAGAGAAACTTTAACAAAAGTTCTACTTTGTGATATTTTTCTGTCCAATTTCAAACTTTGATTATGCAAAATGAACAGATAAACAAATAGTATATATATGTTATATTAAAAAACAGTCAAGGGAATACTAGTCATTTCTTAGGCGGTGAATCTATGACTTAGGCTTCATTTGGGATGGCTTTCTTAATGCTTCATAAAGCAGCTTTTTAGTAAAAAATTAAAATTTTTGTATTAGAAAGTTGTTTTAAGAAGCAGTAAGAAAGCCGTCTCAAACGAAACTTTGATATTCACAATCATTAAATAGCATACTTTTCAGTTGTAAGACTCTGCATCAGAATGTAGGCTAACCTGAGGAGTTTTTTCAGTTATGGGCATTTTCTCAGGTTCTCCATATGTGGCACAGGTGCTAGAGTATATCAGGGTTTTAACACCATGCTTTGCCATGGACTCCAAAATGACCAATGTATTTGAAGTAATATTGTGATAATACCTTTTGAATGAAGCAATGAACCAGATCAAGAATGGCAAAATATAACTCATTACCAAATCAGAGTTTTGAAATACTTTTGGAACCGCAAAGGGCTAGCAAACAGTTTAGTAATAAGCACAACATAATAAAAATATTAATATGAAAAAATCAGAACTACATTAAGAAAAAAATTTCCTAGCCAGCTTGTATCAAATACCTTAACAGCTCAATTACCAGATTTCATGCAGGGACATTCACTAGAATCACTACCATACTTCAGTGAAGTATGGGTTTAAGTTGAAGTAATCAATAAACTAACAACATATATTTTATTGAATGCATTAAAAAGAAACAAAAAGCATTGTGGTGTGGTTGCCTTGGCCGATTACAGCTGCTAATACAAGAACAAGCCCAAAGGCAAGTAATACAAGAGAATAGAAACAATATAACAATAATAATAATATATATTTTTATGTTTTTAATAGTCCCCTTTTTCCTATCTATGTGAATTATACTATATGACTACCGAAAAGAATGTTAGTGATGGCACCATAATGCTAGCCATTGTATGGGAGGAACAAAGACTCGAGAGTCGAGTGTTCGTAAAAAAAATGTATATAAATTTTTAAAAGCATCTTTTTTTTTAAAGTTTTTTAAAGAAGCAAACTTTTTAACTTTTAATTGTTCTTAAAAATTTTAAAAAAAATTGACATCAAGCAAGCACTTAATGAATGTGAAATAATCAAAAGTTTACTAGCACAATTAAATTAACCCAATAATATGTTTAAAATGAACTCAAGTCCTCACTATGCATATAAACACCCAACCCTAAACCCTAAAAAGAACATGAAACAAGTAATAAACTTCCTAAATCATCCATTAGACAATCAAAAAGCATACCTGAGAGGTTCGAGAGTACTCTCGCCAACGTAAGCCACTGCTGCAAAGTGCATCACTGCATCAAATGCATTTTGCGCAAATATGCGGTCAACCTAAATGTCGTTAAGGAGCAATCCCTTATTTTACAACAACAACAATAATAATAATAGTAATAAGGAGGAGGAGGAGGCAACTATTTAGATGTCGTTCAAATAATAAGGATACTACTTTAGCATCGCCTAAATCAGCAAAAATAAACTGAAGCCTCCCAGGTTCTGGAAATAGCTTAAGGAGAATTTGAACAGCCCCAATATTCCCCCTTGAAAGATTATCCTGTCAAATTGAGACGAAAAGATCAATCATGATAGAAAGAAAATAAAGATTGACATACCTATTGATGCATACCACTATAGTTACTCGATAGGAGTCCTTCAAGAGTCGAAGGGTTGCATGTGACCCAATATAACCAGCCCCTCCAGTCACTAAGACATGTGTCACCCCAAAATCATGTTTGGCAAACTGAGGGAGACCAGACCAGAATCATTAGGTAAAGGCAGTAAGGTTAAAAAAAAAAAACAGAATTATTAAAAAACTTCTTTAGGAGCTCAACTGCCTGGTTGGTTCACGCTAGATTAGAAAGGATGAGAGATCTCAAGAAATAACAAGAAGACGAACACAAAATGATGTCCAAGGAAACAAGTAGCTTTAATAATTAACTATCAGAACTTATCTGCAACAAATTCTGAAGAATAAAAAGATCAACAAACTAAAAAAAAAATCACAAAATACCACTTGCAAAAAGTAAAAATGAGGTGGAAGTGGAAATACTCCTGATTATGATGTATGAATTTAAGACTACTAAAATCAATAATAAGATGCAATGAAAATATAAGAAATCTCATAGAGAAATTTCAACATTCTTCTATCAGTAAAAGATAGTGGTGAGACCTGCAATGCTTTATGGTGTCGAATGTTGGTCATTAAAAGAGAAGCATAATACTAAGTTAAGCGTTGCACAAATGAGGATGCTTAGGTGGATGAGTGGCTTTACCCTTAGAGATAGGATACGAAATGAGCATATACGTGATAAGGTTGGAGTAGCTCTAGTAGAAGATAAGATTAGAGAGAGTCGCCTTAAATGGTTTGGTCATAATAAACGGAGGCCTTCCGATGACCCGATTAGAAAAGTTGAGGTATTAAATTTGACTTATGTTAAGAAAGACGGAGGTAAACCTAAAAAGATTTTGTTAGAAAATATTAGAAATGATCTTTTTTTATTAAATTTAAATGATAAATTAACTTTTAATAAGACACAATGGCGAAAAAGGATTCATGTAGCCAATCCCACGTACTGGGACAAAGTCTTGATGTTGTTGTTGTTGTTCTATCAGTAAACATCTAAAGTCTTGATAGAAGCTATTAAATACTTTGTTCTTGACTTCTTTGAAAAATAGAAAATTAGCATGAATTCATCGATCACGTTTTTGCTCAAACATCAATCATGTATAATGAAATTTGATTGAATCTTCCAAAATTTACAATTCAATATTCCCGCGGTAATGGATTGACAGGAAATAAATGAGCAAAAAAAATACGTTAGTGGAATAGACAGATAAAAACCAGTGAAGATGCAATGGTTCTGAACTAGGATGAATATGGCAGACACCACTAAACATAGACATGTCAAGATGTCAGCTTGAAAACTAAGCTGATTGAATTACATGAAGATTCCCTATGGATTGACAAAGTTACTACAACAAACTATCAATCCGAACAGATAAGTTTGAAGATGTAAGCTAATCATTATTAAATCCAAACAAACGAATATGCCTCTTTCTACACCCCCTCATGTTGAAGTTTTATGAAGCTAAAATGATTTGAAGTAGCCAAGACACATGACCCCTTCCCACCCCCATTCACCTATGCAACTCCTCTCCAACCATCGTGCCACCCTTTAGCCAGAACGGCCAACTATAGAGCAACTAATTCTCCCTTTGAAACTGTTCTATCCCAAGCCACCTCAACTCCTCTCTTCTGTGCGAACTGAAGCTGGCTTGTCTTCTTTGCACGTGAGCGGGTCGAACAGCCATCCCTCAGCCGCAAATCTCCCTCCAATCGCGATTCCTTTCCCTATTTGACATATTCTCCCACCTATAGCTTCCCTCTCGCCATTTGAACTGAATAGGAAGCTAGGGTGATGAGGACATCGAAGATCAATGGCTACGATCGTGTCTATTTATTTTCATGTATTTTATTTGTTATTTGTACTTTTCCATTTATATCCTCACTTGAGGGCTTTGTTTTATGTTTTCCCTAGGGGCAATTGTGTCTTTTATTTTCCTTCATGTATTTGGCTATTTAAGCCCTCCTCTTCCTCTTGGAAGGGGATGATGATTATTGATAATGAAAAGTTTCATGTTTTGTTGATCTCTTAGTGAGTTCACGTGATCTCTTAGTGAGTTCATGAGAGGAGAAGCCCGAGGAGGGTAATTCGAAATACCCGCCAATCTTTGGAAGAGTCCGAGGTTCGCGGTTCTTACGATCTCTGTGTGAGTTCGTTAGTTATCTCTATCTTTCTCGTATTTTCTTGTTCTTCTCTTTTCTCCCCTCTTCATCCACAAAGTATTCCCCCCTAGCTCCATTGCCGCCGCCCCTTGGAGTCCACAACCCCAACCGCCAGCCACCTTCCGCATTCCCCACTTAATCAAATTTTGAAAATTCAAAATTGATTGAGTTCCAAAATTTCCTAATTTGTCAAAGCCAAATTAGGAAAGTTTTCAAATTCAAAACAATTTGAAATTCAAATTGAAAAGGATCTCATAATCTAGCTTCCTAATGCATACGTGCTAATTTGGAAGGCTCATAAATTGCTCCCACACCTCCTCTCCCTCTCTTGAAACCGCCGGCCCCATGAGGGTTTCTCCCCTCTTTGAATGCTTCATTAATTCTCCAATTAAAGCATTCATGGCCACCCATTTGAATTCAAATTTCAAAATAAAATTTCCCGCAGCTGTTGGCTGATTTTTCCTTCCCAAATCCCTTTCAAAGCTCCAGGAAAACTGCTGCCCAACATCTCAATTTGCTGTTTGGAAATTCCTGCAGCAGCCTACCGACGTCCAGCCATCCCGGGAGCGACAATTGCTGTCCATATCTCAGGGACAGCCCTTCTTCCTGTCTAGAAGTTTCCCTGAGCTCAATAGGTTGCTATCCTATTGACCACAGCAAACTAGGGTGCTGTCCAACCGTCCAGAACCAGTCCTAGCTGCTGTCCTGAGGAGATCTAATGTCGTCTAGCCGTCCGAAGAGGCTTCCCTTGTTGTTGAGTAGTTCCAGAAGTTTGAAGGCTGCTGCCCCTTCATTCCAGCCATCGTCATAGCTTCATAACTCCTTTTTTTTGGGTAAACTCTTCACTCACTCTCTATCTTCTAAGTTAACTCTACTCGTGGTTATAATTTGATTCACAAAGCACATGTTTTATCGCCTCCGCTAAACCTAGTATTTGAATGAGTTGTGAGAGAGGCCCTTTATAATACTAATCTTATTGTTAGCATTAGAATTTCTCGTTGAAACCACTCATGTATGCAAAGTAAGACTTATATGACTATTTAATGATCTCAACCTCTCGCATGTGTTTAGACCTAAGCTATTTTATCACCTTATCATTTTTATTTTGTCGTTTATCATCAAGAGAAAGCTTATAATTATTGTGCTCTAAAATTTAAGCGTGCAAACTTTCTTAATTTAATCATCCATGCTTGTACGTTTCACATCATAGGGCATCACTTATTTCTACTCTTTTCTCCCTCGTAGCAGCCACCAAAAGCCCTCCTCCCTCTCTCAGCCGTCGAACATTCTCCCTCTTCCTCCTTTTCGTTCTTCCCTACAAATAGCGGCCATTTTTGGTAAAAATATCCCTCCATCTTCTACCTCTTCAAACAAGGTGGAGTCTCCCTTCTTTCTCTTGAATTAAGATGGGGTCTTTCTCCTCCATCCTTCCCTGTTGATCAAGTTGATTATTGTTATCTTATTATTATTATTGTTGTTGTTGTTTGGATGTTTAATTGGAATCGTGATGTTAGATCTTGATTAATGATACCTATATAATTTTGTGCTTTTATTTGTGCGGGAGTCTTATGTTTCTTGTATTAAAGTTTTTTTCCTATTAATTTGTATATTAAATTAGGATTCTTCTTGTAGGACTTTCGGAGTCATCGTCTTCGTAGCCTTGCCAATTCAATATTGGATAGGCTTGGAGTTTCGTGTCACTCATCTAAAAGGTAAGTAACTATTATTTATTTTTGGAGTAAACGTACCCTTCTTTGTTAGAGACATAATCTGTGATATTTGTATTAGAATTATTTTATAACTATTTATGTCAGTTCTATTTTAAATTCTTTAGCATAATCACATGTAATATTGTTATTGTCCATATGGAATTAGCATGTGACAATCAAAACTTTACTTGATTTATTTCTCATTAGCTCTTAATCATTCATGTTAAATTTCTATGTTGGAAAAGTTAGATTTGTGCAATTTAGCTTAAATAAATAAACCTCATTCCTGCAAACCATACTTAACATTTTGATTTATATATGTTTGTTGGTTAATAATAAAAGCATTGGACATGTATAATTCATGAGTGTATGTATGTCGATAGAACTTTATTGGTTTTTGGCTAGCCAGGGTCGACAGACCCCCAGAGTGATGACTCTACAGAAAATTACTAAATATTCTTGGATTGATATTTTCCTTCTCAGTGATGGGTATATGATAAACCGACAATAATATATATGCAAGAAAATATAAGTGGATATGAATTTAAAATAAGATATGACTTACAGGTCATTGTGAGGTACATGGATACCTAGGGTGGTTCATTTGTAAAAATTAAAATGATTAGGCATAAATAGCTATTTGACATATATACATGCATATTAGAAGATGTAGAAAACATAGCATATCTCATGTTGGTTTTTGATATAGTAATTATAGATTACTACTCACATCTTTTGGTTGTTCATATTGCATGCCCCACTCCTTTGCCGTTTATGCTTTGATAGATAGTAGTTGTTGAGTTAGATTTATCAAACATGCTCATTGTCTATTTCAACAGGTTCTGCAGAAGTATTTGGTGGACAACCATATCAGGAGTAGAGTTACCAGCAATAGATTGTTTTTGACATTTATTATTTTGTAGTAGTTTATTATGTTTATGTGTTCTAAGGATTGGGTAGCTTATTTCTTACTTTTTCTATATTTACATTCTTGTTGGTTTGTATCAGAACTTAATAATTTGGATATATTGGTTATTTGAACTTCTATTAATGGATTGACTTTATTTCACTTCCTCAGGCAAGGTGGTAGCCAACTTTACATCCAAGGTAGATTTGCAAGGATCTTGTTTGACATTTAGCAAAACTTCAAGCATTCTTGACCTTCTTCTATTAAATATACCTCATGGAAAGAGTGATGTGTTTAAACATTGGGAGTTTTCAGATAATTTATTAGGATAACTTATTGAATGGAAATATAAGATACTCAAAATTATCCAAGTTCCCTTTGAGTGCTAATTCAAACTCTGGAATTATTGAAGTTCGTAGTATATTTGAACAACATCGATCTATATTGGGCAAAACCTATTTCGAAGGTGGAAATCCTTGGAAATGACACCAAAAGATTCAATCTATATAATCATGATGAATTTTAGTTTGGTTTGCAGCATGTGGATGTGTTGTGGGTTCACTTTTTTGTCAAATAAAGAGCTCCTTCTGGCATTGGTTCTTCTTTCATCAGAATAAATTTTTCTAAAGCAATGCATAGGAAGCTCTTTATTAACAACTTCTAGCACCATGACAAAACCTTGTAATTGGAAATTCCTTAGACTGATCTATTGTGTTGGTACATTGCAATGCTTCTTGTTTTGAAATAATTGTTTCCAATTTTTTACCATTTCAATTGTCAACAGCTATTGGCTTATTTGAGGCGGTAGAAAATGCAGCAACTTCGGCTATACCATCCTGATATGTAGATTTCAGACTCAGATGGCTGTTGCCATGAAAAAAATGTTTTGGGGTTGTGAGAATTAGTAGCAGCAATTACATAATGTTGAAATCCTTCCTTGGAAATCTGCCCTGGCTTTTGATATTGTAAATTCAATTCATTTGAAGACCTGAATGACTCTCAAAGTTATTTGAGGTAATAGGTAACAACAATATTCGAGAAATTATATATATGTTTATTTTCATATTTCTAAGAAGTCTTGTTATAACTGCTCCTCCATTTATCCACCCATCAAATTCTTCTAAACAGTAAAGATCTACCAAGCACTTAGCCGTGAAGTTTCTTTTAATGGTGAAGTGGATTTCAATGTCATTAAGTCATTCCATAAGGCTTGATTCATTTGAGAAATATTATATTTCGAATTGATTTTGAATGTGTGATGACAAGTAAGTTTAGAATGCACATTGACTTCAAATCCCTCATGAGCTTTTTAGAATTAAACTCCAATTTATTATTATCATTATTATTTAATAAAGTGGGGTTTTTTTTTGTATGTTTCAATTTTGGCAGCCTCCCGACGTCCCCTCCCTGTGAAGGGAGGTTGGGAGGAACTTGCCTTTGGATTTAACTGCCCAGATCAAAGATACAATGACGCAGGGTCTTCACATTAGCAATCATCCCACCCAGATAAAAAATCAATGGCATGAGGTATTCAAATTAAAAGATCTTCCTGCCCAGATCAAATATCAATGACGCAAGGGCTTCAATTTGTGTATTCCTGGCTGGATCTAAGATCAACGACACATGGTCTTCAAAATCAACGATTATTAATAATAATATACATAAATATATATTTATAAATCTGTAATTCGATTGGATCTGTCTAATTAGAAAGACTCGGGTTGGATTAAAGTAGAGATGGGCATGGGTTTAATTGGGATTGGGTCCTCCACTCCTCCTCTTGCTGCATAAAGAGATCGAGAGACAAAGAGGTCAGGCATAGAGGGAGATCAGGCACTAAAGGAGACCGGGCATTGGAGTTGGAGCGGGCTAAGTCAGGAGACGAGGTTGTTGGACTTGTTCGTAGAAAAAGGCATGGGTATGGGATCAGGCAAGCGGCTTCGACTGCTGGTGCGAATGTAAGGCCAGTGAGGTCGGCGGCTGGGAGTCGAGTCAAGCTCACGTAGGAGTGGAGGCTTGGGTCGTGCGCAATGCTGGGTTGCAAGAACATGAGACGGAGGGGCTGGTAACCTGTGGATGAGGTAGATGAGTCCAGAGGAAGAAGAGATGGAAGCTAGGCTTCGGCTTTCTTTCGTCTGTGAGTATCGAATGGGTGGGAGCAGTTTCTGTTGAGGTTCTTATTACCTTGAGAGGGAGTTAAGTAAGAGGTGGTTTGTAGAGAGATTGTGGGTGAGAACGGTTATACGAGGGAACCGTCATTTGGGAGCCTCATTTTGTGAAGTGGGACCGGCTGGAAGTTAGAGGTCAACATATATCTCATGGCAAAATTCCACAATTATGATAGGTAACTTGAAGAAAATATGAAGCAAACCTTATCTAATCTACCTAGTTACAAAATGAGGTAATTCAAATTGCAAAATCGGAATAAGATCACTATAAAAGAAATCAATTATCTAAATGCCTACCACATTTGTGCCGCTGAAACCAGGGGTCTGCTTGAGAAAGAATATACAGACAGCTATTAGCAAAACTACCATTATGATTTTTACTAGGAGCTGAGGCTTTCTTCTTGAAACTGAACAATCCATTCCTGAAAAAAAAAAAAAAATCAAGTTAAGCAATAATAGACATTAAAACAACTAAAATGATACATTCAGGCCTATTTACAATCTAATCAATTTAGATTTGCATATAACTTGTTGTGGGTATTCAAATCCATCAGAAAATAAATTACAAGAAATGTTACAACATCAAAACTAAATATAGAAATGGCGATCTGCTTTCATGCAAAGTGTCCATTTTAAAAATATCAAATCTAGAATCAACAATAACTGATAAGTTGGTAGCCAGAATTAAAACCTTAGCAACATAAACAGACACTAAGCACAAATTAGCTTGCAAATTATAATCACTAGATCATAATTCACCAGCCTGCTCTTTCAAATGGATTGCCTCTAGTACTTGGACAATAACTGCAGAGCATGAACATCCAATAAACCAAGAAACAAACCTGAAAAGAACCAAGATCTACCAGCCCTAGGCTGATTTCTGCTCCTGCTAGTAGTTAGCATATGAGGAAATACTCTGAAATCAAGCAGAAACAAACTGCTCCATTAAAAAACAAAAAGAAAGCTCCTTCTCTTTGATTACCGGAATCTTTCAACGACTCTGCACCAACTAAAGTACAGTACGACTCATATCTGCAGTCAAATTCAAGGATTAACTGTATCATCATCACTTTCCAACTTAGGTAGCAGAACCGGTAAAATCCATTTGAAAGTGACAAAGCATCCAAAACCCCTATCGTTTAATAATATTCTATTGTGAATTTCAATCAAACAAAAAAAGAAAATGTAACGATCCTAAATTCCACGAACCCTGTGTAAAGGAAGGAAACGGCCAAAGCACAGCTTTATGAAGGTAGAACCGTAGTAAACCTAGCTAGAAAATTGGTTTCACTATCACTAAACGGTGAAACCCCCTATAAAATTATCAACTTTGCAAAGCTCAGACCGATCCCCTATCCGCGATAATTCAAATACCCACACAAATTCATCGTAACTAACAGAGCGGGAGAAGAAAGATTCGTAGCATAAAGTACGGATCAAATGAAGTCCTTCATATGCAATCAGCCGCAAATTACATAGAATTCAATCTAAAGAGTAAAGGAGGCGGAGAAAACAATGATCGAAGGAGAGATGAAAGAAAAAACAAACGGAAAGCTATGGAAACGAAACGTAACGCCATAATAACTCAAAAAACATCTACTAAAACGCTTCAATGAATGAAGAAAACTCTTATTGATGCTCAGCATACCTGGAAACAAAGCTATTGTGTTTGGGAGACGCCAAACTTCAAAAGTCAGCGACGAAACCGGCGATAAGAGATATAAAGGTTTGGAGAGACCGCAAGCGACAAAGATGTGTGGATTTGGGAGCTTTTGGATCAAGTCGACGCCTTTTCGAGGCGTTTGAAGAGAAAGCGAAAAACAGAGAGAGGAGTGTGCAAATATAGGGGAATGAGAACAAATGAGAGAAAGAACGAAGAAATGAGAAATTTTTAGGATCTGACTGGCTTCTCGGCGCTCCTCCCATGTTCATTTGATTGGTTCCTTGTAAGGAGAAGACTTTTTTCTGCCTTTTCTTCAGTTTCTTTTAGCCGTCCTGCGAGCGTTTTCTCCAATGTTGACTTCCACCTGGAAGTCCTCGAACAAAAAATATATATATACAAATAGAGACGCAACTGTAAATTTGCCCTTTTTGTTAACAAATAACAATGCAAAATCAATTCCATTCACTCTAATAATCTGGCAGCCACTTTCTCTGTATATTTACGTCCTTATTGCTGATCACCATTCCCTTATAATCAATCATCTCTGCTACTCAGCCGTTGGTCAAAAACTGAAGCTGCTGTGCTTAATAAATAAAGGTTTGCACTCTTCTTTGTTTCTCTTTTATATTATGTTATATTCTTTTTCTTTATTTCAGTAATCCTCATGGTACCAAAACTTCTTTTGTATAACGGCATTCAATTCTAAACTTTCCTTCTGGTACTCTGCTCCTCATGATCGTCCAGGAACTCTCATCAAGTTGAATACAATTCCATTATCAAAATGGGAGAAATCTCCATTCCTCAGCTTAATTTCTCCTATCTAATACTACAAATATTATACACGCTCAACCTACGGGTGACAACTATCCAAAGAGGAGCTCTCGACTTCTCAAGCTATTCAAGATAAATTGTTTCTATAGCCTGCCCACCAAGGAAACCGGTCTCCAAAAATGGTGAAATCTCTTGCAATCTTAACTTTAATATTTGGATGTTAGTAGTCAAATCTTTTAGTTGTTCTTCTTTCAACAATGCCAACTTCTATTCTTCTATATGTATTGAATCTATAATCTGCTAATGAAATTTGGACAACCCTTATAGAGGGGCTTCAACTTTCAAATCTCTCACGAGTCACTCAATGAAAGAATGAACTTCATAATCTTTCAATGAAAAATCAAACATTGTAACAATATCTATCGGAAGTGAAATGCAAAGTGGATAATATAGCAATAGTTGGATATGATCTAGCGTTGATATGGAGGATATCATTCTTGTTATTTGTGGAATTTGATTGTATTGATCAATCTGATTATTTAATTGTCTTTGACCTCAAAGCTTGTCGTGTTCGCTAGGAGGGGGGTATCCCTTGTAGACCTGTCAATATTTGACCCGACCCGAAATTTTCGGGTTTGGGTTGACCCGAACCCGAAGCGGGTAGGGTTCGGGTCCAGGAAACCGACCCGTTTGCAAAAACGGGTCGGGTTCGGGTTGACCCGACGGGTTGCCGGGTCAACCCGAAAACCCGTTTAATTTAAAAAAATTTTGATTCCCGCCCTTACCCGCTGCCCCTGCCCGAGCTGCTCGCTGCCCTAGCCCGCCCTGCCCGCGTCTGCTGCTCAGCATCCGCTGGATCGCTGCGGCGCTGCCTCGAGCGGTCGAGCCCGCCTGGCGCGTGCCCAAGTCACGACTGCCTCGAGCGGTCGAGCCGCCTCAATTAGGAAGAAGAGGGCACAGTACAGGAAATAGAGGAGGAGGTGATCGGGGCTTTGACGTCGGCTGAGATGGAGGAGTTCGGCTATGAGAAATGGAGAGGTCGGAGGTTGGAATCGGGAGAGGAAGTGTCGGGAGCAGAGGTTTCTGCGTGTGGAGTCGGAGGAGGGGAGCAGGGCTTCTATTTAACGACGCGAACAGGCGACAATCGAGGAGCTGCCACGGGATTTGCGGGATCAGACGCGAACGGCGCCCAATTCAGCGGGATATCTGCTGATTTTCTGGACTTCCTCGATAGATACGAGGTGAGCTGCTTTTTTTTTTTTGTTCTTTACCCGTAGGTCAACAACAGTATTGATATATCATCAAAAATTTATCTTGACCAGGCGTGAATCTTGAGGCAAAATTGAGTTGAAAGCTTCCGAGATTAAATCTCGGACCATCTGAACTCCAAATTCAACAAACTTAAAGTCGAATTGAACGTCTCGAAAAAACGAACCCAACAACACCAAATTCGACTCAATCTGAGCATAAATGAGTCCAAATCAAAGACCTAAAGCCCATTTGAAAGGTTCAAGCTATAAATTGGATGACCAAACGGTTTCCAAATGTGACATGCTTATAGTGGAATAGAGTGGCTCGATGAGGCAAATCCAACGAGCCCAATATCGTCGAATTATGATATCATTAAGACATTCAAATGCCCAATAAATGATTCAAAACAAGGGGATCAATATCAACCGTCCATTCAAAACACTCCCAACGTATCCTTAATCTCCCTTCTATTTACTGGCCATGCCCAATAACTTTAAATAGACTCCTCATTTCTCATGAAAATGAGGAGAGAAGCAAGGAAGAGAAAGAAGAGAAAGAAACTAGAGTTCTCTTACCACCAAACCCCTCATTGACCACCGTCGAACCTCCGATCGTCGTCAGACTTCTGCCCGGCCATCAACTGACATCGAACTTCAACCATGCTTCCAATTATGGTCGTCAAACAATGGTCTTTCTAACCACTGTCGCCCGCCAACTATGGTCCTTCCAACATCCATCTCCAGACAACGGTCTTGCTGACCACTTTCACCAGCCGACTATGGTCCTTCCGACCTTCATCGCCAGATAACGGTCTTTCTAACCATTGTCGCCCGCCAACTACGGTCCTTCCAACCTCCATCGCCTAATAATGATCTTTTTTATCACTGTCACCCACCGACTACGATCCTTCCAACCTCCATTTCCAAACAACGGTCCTTCTGACCTCTACCATCATAATATGGTCTTTCCGACCTCCATCGCCCATCGACTACAGTTCTTCCAACCTTCGTCGCCCACTGACTACAGTTCTTCCGACCACCGTCACTTGACTACAATCTTTCTTACCTCTGTCGTCAGCCGACTATGATCATGCGGACTAAACGAATATATACTGATTCTTGCAATTCCCACAGTGTAATGCACTTTATATGTTGTATATTCGCTACATCAAACCAAGGCCTTCTCTCAAAAAAGGGCCTCATTTATAATTGACTGCAAACACTAGTGAATTCATTCAAACTTAGTCAGAACCCATGGTTTTTTCCCCTTGTCATGGTTTTCCACGTAAAAACTTTGGTGTCACTTATGAACGCTACACCTTATTTTTATTTGATTGTGTGCTGGATTGTCGTACAAAACTAAGATGTTAAATAACTCTGTAGTCACTTATGAATCTGCTCTTCTGGACTTCGAACTTTTACTTTCCCTCATTGATCATCCACACAAACTGCTCCTCTCATTTTAGTCCCAACCTTTAATCCACCCGCCTCCACCAACTCAAGATCGGAATTTGACATAAATAATTATGTCTCAGCAGTGAGCTGTCCCTATTGTTCCCTCCACACCTGTAATTTAATCTCCACCAAACACTTCACCTACTATTCCTCCATTAAACTCCAGCTCTCCATCACCACAGTAGCGAACCATAAAGCTCATTGACTTGCTCAAATTTATAAACAAAAAGATGTTCTAGATTATATCAAAACATCCTACCATCCATTTGTTATCAGCTGTTGCTCTTCATTTTCATTCGTCGGTTCTCCAATTGGGTGTTTCTGATGCTTTTCAGCAAGCCTTTCTTGAAGAAGTTATATATATGGAGCAGCCCAAAACATTCAAAAATCTGCAATTTTCAAATAATATTTATCAACAAAAAAAATCATTTGTGATCTTAAGCAAGTGACGCAGCAAAGATATGCAACTATATTATTTATTTTAAATAACAATGCTTTTTTTTTTTTTTTGTGCAGCTTAGGCTTCGTTTGGGACAGCTTTTTTTTACTATTTTATAAATCCAACTCTTTAATAAAAAAAAAATTTGAACTAAAAATTTTTATAATATAAAATTATTTTAGAAAACATTAACAAAGATGTCACAAACAAAGTCTGGGACGGCTTCCTTACTAATTCTTAAAACAACTTTTTAGTACAAAAGTTAAAAAATTTTGTACTTAAAAATTGTTTTAAGAAGCAATAAGAAAGTCATCACAAACAAAGCCTTAGACTTCGTTTGGAATGTCTTTTCACTGTTTCTTAAAGTAGCTTTCTAGTACAGCAAATAAATCTTTTATACTAGAAAGCTGATTTAAGAAGCAGTAAGAAAGCCGTCTCAAACAAAGCCTAAGTCAACCCTTTCTTGATGATCTACTTATCAACAAATATTTGACTCTATATTTGCCACCAACAACCATACCGCCATCTCAAAACTTGCACAAAATTTAAATTAAAATGTTAATTAGCTAAATAATTTAGGGCCTATATCAGATTTTTGAAGCAAGCAAGCTATCTTAACTCATACAAGTTTTTTTCTTAGTCAATGTAAGCATGCCAAGGAAACTCTTCGTTAAGGCTAGGATGACTGATTGCAGAGCTCTTTTCTATTTGCTATGCCTTCCAAATTTGATATTGCCAAAGCCACTACGGCCCTGATTACAAATGCAGAGCCGTTTCACCAATTGGTAATGGTAATGATTATTTATAAAAAAGCTCAGTTGATGATAACGGTTATGTTAACGGCTTTATTCCGCAACTACGATGGCTATCAGTTTACTACGTAAGACTACGAAGAAGAAGGAAATCTTCAAGCAAGTGTTTGAAAAGCTATAATGTACGTATATGTAGTTAATGTTTGTTGATTTTAATAGAATACAAAATTTAAAATGCAGTGAACGGAATATTCTGCATTCCACATTCAATTAAAAATCATTATAAATCATTATTTAAGGGTATTTAAGTTTGATAAAAAAATATATTGAATTATTAATAATTTACATATTTTATTATAAATAAATAAAAATAGCTTAAAATGAAGTTTTGGAAAAAAATTTGTTTTGTGAGTTGAAATTATATTATTTAACTTAAAATATTTTATTGAGAGTAAAAATCCTGTGAAATTTACTTATTATTAATTTATTAATGTGTAATATTAATAAGAATGTATATATTAAATAATATTTAATTATTTTATTAATATGTTGGAATTTTTTTCAAAAAAACTAATTCAATTTATATTAAGATTGATGAGTGCTTGGGAGTGATTTTAAATATATCAAAAATTTTGTATTCACATAGGATATGTACAGCTCTTTATTGATATAAATTATATTGTCCAAATAATATTCATTATCAAATCACTTTTGAAGACTTGTTTAGTCATGTCATTATGACAATAGTAATCAATATCATGATTTGTTTTTTTTTTTTTCAACTCACATAAATGAGATCTAATGGCCTTGATAAATAAATTGAATACTTTATTTAAATGAGTGTAATCAGTATCATGGAGGGTCAAGTTTATTTGGAAATCTTCTTCAACTTATTATTTGTCTCTTATGAATAAGATTCAAAAAATTCATTTGAAGAAATTGATTGTAGAGGGTAGCACTTGATATAGGGGTGTCAATTTCGGGTCACGGGTCGGGTTCGGGTCGAACCCGGAAATGACCCGGCACAATTCGGGTCAACCCGAACCCGACCCGTTTTCACAAACGGGTCGATTTTCCAGACCCGAACCCGACCCGCTTCGGGTTCGGGTCAACCCGACCCGACCCGGGGACACGGTAACCCCGCGAGCAGATATGCGGCAGCGGCATCCGGAGGCTTCAGCGGCATCGGCGGCCCGTTTGTCGGCGTTCGACGAGGCTTCACGGCGGTCCGTTTGCCGGCGTACTCACGCCGTCACGCGCAACGTCACGCCTCACGCGTGAAGCGACGCGACGAGGCCAGCTTCTGGCCAACGCGAGCGGCGAAGTGACGCGACGAGGGATGCGACGCGGTCACGCGAGCGGGCAGCGGGTCAGCCGGGCAGCGCAGCGGGGGTCAGCTCGGTCAAGCGGCGGGCAGGTCGGTCACGCAGCGGGGGGCAGCCCGGTCAAGCGGCGGGCAGCTCGGTCACGCGGCGCCGCGGCAGGCAGCTCGGTCAGCAGGTCAATCCGAGTTATTTTCGGGTTTCCGGGTCAACCCGAACCCGACCCGGTTCGGGTTCGGGTTGACCCGAACCCGAAATTTCCGGGTCGAGTTCGGGTCGTGTTTTCGGGTCGTGTCAAATGTTGACAGCCCTAACTTGATAGAAAGAATGTGGCGCATTCCACTGACAATGGCCTACAGGAGAAGACCAAATCGAACAAATTTTTTTGATGTTATATGCATTCCTAGTCAGAAGATAAAGATTGCATATTGTGACTAGGGGTGCAACCGAGTCAAGCCGACTCGGACTCGACTCGGTAACGGGCTCGACGAGTCGAGCTTATCGAGCTCGCGAGTCGAGCTCGAACATGAGTTCGAGCTCGACGGCTAATCGAGCTCGAGCTCGAACATACGTCGGACTCGACTCGTCGGCTCGACGAGCAGCTCGTTGGCGGAGCTCATGGGCAGGAAATCCAAATATCGCGAGCTGAAAATCCAAAACAACGGCACAAGCAGATCTCGTTTCTCGACGGCGGACGAGCTCGGGACAAAGGCCGAATGCGACTGATCTTGATCTTGACGGCAGAGCTCATCCATTGGTCGTCGAATCTCTGGACAACGACATCCATTGCTCGACAATCTCTGGACGACGACGATCTCGGGACGACGACATCCAGAGCTCATCTCGGGACGGCAGAGCGGAACACGTAGGACGAGCTCCGCCAACGAGCTGATGGCGGACGGGCGCGACGACGGAGCTCAAGAACACGTCGGACGAGCTCTGCCAACGAGCTGATGGCGGACTGGCGCGACGGAGGACGCGACGACGGACGGGCTCGATAGCGAGCTCGACGAGCCGCTCGATTTGACGACGAGTCGAGCTCGAGCTCGGATTTTGAGCTCGACTCGAGTTCGAGCTCGAGCTCGAGCTCGGTTTTTGGTTGTCAGGCTCGACTCGAACACACCCTGACTCGAGCTCAAATCGACTCGTTTGCACCCCTAATTGTGACATACGCACGATGAAATTATGAAAATTAATTTTTATAGGGAGGGAGAATATTTTGGAGATGTGGGTTAGAGATATTTACAACAGAGATTCATGGAATATGATGGCCATTTGACACCTGTGAGCATTCTTAAGGCCAGAATTTTTGAAATTGGACTCAACAAAGAAGGTTATGCTGAGTTGATCATTGAAAGGCCAACGACTAATATAAATCAATGCATTATTTATCATAAATGGCATCATGTGAAGGATGCACTTCTGTTTGAATCGTATAATATGCTGGATGTTGTGGCAGGTCATAAGAATAAGAAGTTTTTGAATGCAACGACCTGACAATACATCTAGCACAAGTTTGAGTACAACTTTAAATATTGTCCAACTCAAACTCAACTCCAAGCTCGGCTGCGCATGGTGACAAGAAATAGTTAAATGACTTATTTTTGTGTTGAACTTTTGTTAAGTGTTTTAGTTCTCTAAATTCCGTATTTGTGTTAATGTTTTATTAAGTTTCATGGATCTGTAGCTTTGTGTCTGTTTGAAGCGGTTTTTATTATTTACAAAATGTGGGTACTGAGTAAAGATATTTTTTTATTTCAAATTATTAATCTTAGCATTAGTGAATGTTGTATTTTTTATTTTCTTTTAAATGCTTAGTAAAACCTTTATTAGTGGAGTTCGAGTTTTACTTTAAATGTTGTCTTACGCAAAGCCAGTTTCAAGCACTTTTGCACAGGTTTATCAAGTGAGAATATAACTTTACGATGTACGTGAGATAACTCGTACGGCTTGTATCATCGTTTAATATATTTATTATATTCACTAAGTGGCAAATGGTGTTCCTTCTTCAATTAAAATTGTTTGAGCATCTCTTTGCAAAATTTTATTCAGATGCATTCCAAAATTTTTAAAGTACATGTTAAAGTTGTATTATGCATGTCTTATTGTCTTATGTATTTTGTCCGGCATATATAAAAGTTTTGTTATATTTTGCATATATTTTATTCAAATGTCTAACATCAAGCTCAAATAATACCTATTCTGAAGTGTCTCTTTGTAAAATTTATTTATTAAACAAAATCTTGGAGAAATACCTAATATTTTTAACCAAATGGCTTCTTCTTAGCTACAAGAACAGCCTTTCTTGGAAAGAGGGAGAATGAAGATGGAAGAGAGGGAACAAAAGCTTTATTCATTCATCTTGGAGCCTATATAGGTGCAACTTATTACTTATACATAACCTACAATGCCTATATATACGCTTTGACACTAATTTGATGTCATACAGGAACAAAATAAACTAAAACTGAATCAATTCATAACACCTAATAAGTCACATCACTGTATAAGACCAACAACATCTTCCAAAATCAGAATAATCAGTACAGATGATAGCAATTGCTTCTGCAAATATAACTTATTCTGAATAAAATAACTCAGGAAGATATATAAAGTGTATCCATTAAAACAAAAGGATGAACAGCACTTAAGACAATCGTTCAGAGCAAAATTACAATTGCTAATGCCATACAAGTGGGGCTTTTATCAGTAGGGTTATTTAAGCTTCCAGTCTTTTACATGCTACAGCAAAAAAAAACGAGGGCCAAAAAGTGGAAAACAAACCCCCCACCATAGATGATCTCACCATCTCGAATCCCAATAAGAAGAGCTAAACCACCCAAAACAAGGGAAAATTATTATGTCCGGTGTCTGGATTCATCCGGACACCAATTCAAATACGCCACATCACTCAGATACACCTGGGGCCAATGTGTTCGGGTGACGTGGCGCATTTGAATTGGTGACCGGACGGTCCAGTAACAAGACCTGTACATTCTTATCCCTACTACTACTTCCCAGAGTTCCAACAAGGAGCACAAAAATTAAGCGCCTTCGAGGAAACCTTCCAGGCATCATTCATATTCTAGCTTTCTAGGGGTGCTACAGTACGCCATTATTACAGGTTCTTTAAAGAGTAGGGAATTTTTTTTAAAAAAAAGCTATTAGGAGGAACAACAAAATCATCCAAGAGTTTATCCAGCTTGAATGCGGTAACCATCCGATGAGAAGGCAGAGAACCTACTGCATTGACAAGGAAATAAAAAAATCATGACTTGCTGTACTCAGAACTATCCAGCAGATGGCATGGATCGCTTAGCCAATTCCAGTAAAAGCTTTCGTTGATGTTCATCAGTATGGGGAAGACTAGCTCGCAACAATTCAACTGGCATCTCCTTGCGAATTGCAAGGGTTGCCTCTGATCCAGTCATGGAAGAATCCTGTGAGTTCAAGAGTGGTAATGACTGCGCTATACTTTCATACTTGCTCAAGCAATACTTCAAGAGAAGACCGAAGAAAGCATTGAACGATTCCTGCCACAGAGCTCGACTATGAGTGCTATAGGTGCTTGTACCATGATGATCCTTCAAGAGTTCTGTAGCTCTCTCAACTACAGACCTTATAACCATCGAGGCTCCATCACCAGCTGCGCTTCCAAGTGGACGGAGAGGAGGTTGTTCTGAAGAACAGACAACAGCAGCTAAACATGCACTAAGTGTGCTCAAATCCATTCCAGAAACACAAACAGATACGGTTCTAGCAAGAGTCGATGTGGTTTCAGCTGCCCCAGCGTCAGAGGACAAACCACCAAATAAATACCTGAGGTGACGAAAAATGGCCATGCAAACAATCCGAGTAAGCTCACTGCCAGGATAAAGCAGCAGAAGATAGCGTGACAAAAGCTTACGACCCTTTGGGAGAGAGACTATGTGGAGAAAGACAAAATCATCTTTGGGAGCTATTCCAACAGACTGGCCAGCTTTACTTGGATCAAGCGGATCAACTAGCTGAAGAGATGCTGCAAGCCCTTCCAGGAGAGCCTCCCGTCTCCCTTTTAGCTGGGAGTCTCCATCATGCGGTGGATTGAACTGCAGGAACCGATCAATATCATCTACATCAAGAAGAAGGCAAAGACCATCCTCAATGGTGATTCTAGCAGCCAACATTGGCTCTTGCTCAAGAGGTTTCACAGAACATTTCTGCTCGGAGCTGCTTCCTGCAGCAGCTGTAGATGGTGAGTCCACATCCAGCAGCGGACGAGGCCGGTGAATTGAAGAGAAGGGAATCCTCCCAAGAGCATCCACCTGAAGATAAGCATGTGGCTCACTGTTAGCTCGGGATCTTGAAGGCAACTCCCTAATGGAATTTGGACAGAAGTGGCGCCTCAACTTTGATCCAGAGCTTCTCTTTGCTAGACAGGCTTGATGATAATAATCATCAGAGTAGGGATCACTACTATGTGTTGCGGCATGCTGAACTCTCAGAATGCTTTCAATCTCTTCAGATGTCATGTGCTTGGATCGGAATTGAGGCCATGCGTTGCTCCTTTGGTTCCCTATATCCAAAGGTTGATTAGAAAATCGTACGTTTTGCCTTCCCCTTTGCCCCATTATCAATCCTTGTTCTCTCAACTCAGCCATTCCAAGCATTGTTTCACGCATGTGGGGTGAAGGATGTGAGCCAAATAGTTGAGGGGATAATTGTGGGTAATGTGATAGAGAAGGCTGGACATTCTGAAATCTAGGTTGCTGCGATGTCATTAGGCCATTTGGATGAGATAAATTCTGCTGAAATAAACCAGGAAATAGATTATTGCGGTCACCAGAAATTATACTAGATTGTCTCATAAAATTGTTTTCTTCCTGATTACTAATAGACAAGCCTGGAGAGACAAATTGAGTGATGCTTCCACCATAGTTCATCCCATGATACATATCAGGTAGAGGTTGAGGACCAGAGAAAGGGAAGACATTCTGTGCAGAGAAAGGTGGCTGGATTCCAGTACTTTGTGTTAAAATGTCCATATCGAGAATTCGGGAACCCTGAGATAATTCACCAGGTGGAGGGTAGGAAGTAAAAGGTAACTTGGGAAGGGGAACTTGATCAATCGAATTTAGCCGTGGTAACTGTTCACCAGATAGAGGGAACACTTTCTGCTGTGGTTGCTGTTCGTAAGGGAATGATGTCGTTCTGTACAACGGTTTGGATTCTGCATGGCGAGAAGGAGAGGGATATGGATGTGACCACCACCGTTTACCATCCTGGACATTATCAGCATCTAAAACATTCTGATCTGGCCAGCTGGACAGGCCCAAATCCCTAACCCTATCTGTAGCAGCAGAACCTGAAAGTTTAGGCAGAAAAATTAAGATTATATTAGAGAAATCCACCAAATACACAAGAAGAAAATAAAATAATGATTTTTTTTCCTGGAATCAAGCAAGATAGTGATAAATATAATGATGGAATCTCAGATAAAAACTAAGCCCAACTCAATTTTAATTAGGCAATATTAACATGTAACAAGAAATATCAAATTGAATAGTTCTGAGATTTTTGTTTGAATCTGGGTATTTAAAAAATATTTTACACCTGATTTAAAAGAAAACATCAAGCATCCCTTTCTTAAAAACATCTAATATGGAAGGAAATTTTGACTTTATTTGTCTCATAATACATGTAATTGATCAAATATTTTCATTATTATTCTTCTTGAAAAATGAGCCCAAAACTTCTTTCGGGACGAAATGCCAAGAGAACCCATTTTGATAAGAATCCTTGAGCAGATGGATGAGAAAGGTCATAAATGTTGGATCGACCCACTCATGGCCCTTAGATTTCTATCCATGTCTCTTCTTCCCATTCAAGTCATCGTCCCCACTTAGATATTTTTTTTCTTTGTAAATAATTTTGATTTAATTTCATTATAAGCCTTTCGAAGAAGACTATAACAAGCAATAAAATTTAAAATAACTTTTTTTTTACTTTTATACTTTTCAACATGATATCAAAATGAGGTTAGGATTTTTATCTTCCAACCTTCTGTTTTTTTTTTTTTTTTCTCCCTCTCTTCTTTCTTCTCTTCATTATGGCTGATTTTTTTAAATTCCCTTCCAAGGGATTGACCAACACAAAAGGTGAAATCAAACTAAAAGAAAATTCCAATGGGTACAAGCCCCGTATCATCTGAATTGTAAAATTTATCTAAAACTGTCCCAAATTGTGAAGACCTTTTCCGGGAAAAAAAAATCTATCAACTTTTAGATCATAAAGTTCCTCTCTACCACAAAAAATATTTAGGACATCATCAAATAAACGTACTCAAAAGTGAAGAATATTATCCTCATCTATGAGATCAAAAATAATATTTCAACAACCAATAAAATAACTTTCCAATTATCGAGAACATTAAAGCAATAAAGGTTCATTAGCTTGAATTGAATTATTAACAAAATCTCAAGATGAGATATTGCATGATATGATAATTCTCAAGCAATATGTAAAAAGAGATATTATTATAGTTCCTTGAAAATTTCAATAATAAGTTTGATCAAGTTCATGTCCAAACATTAAGCAAAGTAAGCTCATCATCAGTAAATAAGATTTTCGCTCATAAAAGCCAACGAGGAAAATAATGCTCAAAGCTCCTATCTCCGCAACATCTGTCATTACAACCAATGAACCCACTTGCCTTACTGCTACAAACACTTTTTTTAAAACTGGGAAAAAGCCTTCTTCCAAAACCAATCTATGATGTAACTCTTGTAAGAATGACACAAAAAATACTGGAAACTCTACGAAAAGCCCCCAAGCTATAGTAGAAATAAAGATCACCAAAAAGGCTAAGATTGTCATGTGGGATTTGAATGGATAAATCCATAAAATATTGACAAAGTCAAAACTTCCTCAACTTTTTGGAAAAATCATCTGAATCGTGTTTTCTAGCTCAAAAAGATATGACTCATATTTCTTATACTTCAATATCTCAAACATTTCCCTCACAACTGGATCCAAGATTAATTAGCCACTGGACACGTAAACAAACTTACCAACCTTTTTTTAAACCAACAAATCCCTACCTTAGAAATAGAAAAATAAAAGTGACTAACATTTCTATAAAAACTATTGCAGATCAAGAAAATATTTTAACATCAACATTAATCATTAGTAATGTACATATTCCTTAGCTTTCAATATCTTCTATAAATCAATAAAATAACTAAAGACCACAATTGAAATGTAACCTTTTTGCTAATTATTTTGTATTTCAGGACTTCAATACAGGGAAGACGAATGGGCAAATTAATAAAAAGGAAGAGATCTTCTTGAAGATGAAAACCATTTGTCATGTTCCCTTCAATATATAAACCATTTGGTAACATCATTATGAAGGAATCTAGCTTTCAAAATTCTACAATATATTTTTTATTCTTTTTTTTTAATATTAGCATAAAAAAAATTTATAAGACTAGTGAAAATGTTAAATATCATGTTTTTTTACGTGATGCTAGATCCTCCACCCTATTTCAAAATCTTCACTCAATACTTGCTAACCGTCCAAAAGTTTCATTATTTCTAAGGATATATAGGATTTATTACCTTCATTAATTATTGTACTCGAATGACATGGGTAAATCTCATCAAACAAAAATATGATGTTACTATGTCTCCCCATTTTTATTACCATGATACAAAAAAAAAAAAATCAATATTATTATCAAGTATTTTTACTGTTAATGCTCATAATTATTTTAATCATACATTATCATCTTTCTTCCAGAAAAAATATATCATCCACCAATTCCCCTATCCTCGAACTTCCCAATAAAATGGAGTGATAAAAAAAAACATCTTCTAGTGGACATTAAGACTTTTCTCTTCCAAAATCAAGTATCAAATAAATATTGGGGAAAAGCAAGTTCAACCATCACATACCAAACCAATAAAATACCCATATAATTTGAGTAATGACTTCAAAAGTCATATAAATTATCGAATTGAATTTTCCCAATAAATAACTCTCTCAAAATTTTATCAAATAATCTTTGGGAGTATTACATATATCCACATTTACAAATAACACAAGAGTTAACTTGATTCTAGACCTTTCAACTGTCTTTATAAGTATCATCAGCCTATCATAAAAAATTCATTATTATAAAAGATGTCACTCTTAATGAGAAACAAAGTTATTGCAATCAAACTATCTTCAACGGGAGAACTCTCAATTGAAAATAGAATTGATAAAACTTCTATCTTTCATATTGACATTTCGATATACACAACCTCCAAAAAATTTGAACATTATACCCTTCAAGTATTTACAAAAAAGAATATACCTAACCAAAATCTCCAACATGTTAAAAACTTGAAACCATTATCAAATAACAATGATTAACCCATCACTATAAATTTTCCTTTATATTTTATCTCTCAACACAAATCAAAAAATTATCTTACTCATAAAACCTTCCTAATAAATATCAACTTTAATTCAATTACAATACCATAAACTCTATTTGAAGCACTAAAAAATAAGAATTAAAAAAAAATCCTTGAGAGAATAGATAAATTGATGCATGCAAATTTCAATTTATTTTCAATTTTTATCATAATTTGAATATTATAATTTTTTTTAAAGTTTTTTTATGCTATCCTATGATGGAAAACATCCAATGATCATGAATAGGTAGTGCTTGGGCATAGCAAACCTTGGGTGTGCTAGCTACTTGGTTCTTTGGTCTTTGGGCTATTGGTTGCCTCTCGGGTTGGACCTTGGCTGCTCGGGTTTGGGCTATGTTCTTTGGGAGCTACTTGGTTATAACTCATAAATGCTTGAGCTGATGTTTAGCTCATTCATTTAAAAAGGTATTCCTCTTGTTAGCTCATTAAGTGGAGTTGGATCGTTGTCTTTTCCCCTTCTCTGTGTCACCTCAATTGTTTCCATGGCTGGTGTTTTATCCCTTTTTGGGTGCTAGTTTTGGTTCCCTGTGCTGCCCTTCGGTTTCTCCCCTGGCTGCTTGTCCTGTGGCTGCTTTATCCGGGTTTCTGTGATGTTTTTGGGTGTTGTTCTGGAATAAATTCTGGCCTTTTAGTTCCCCTTGCCTGATTGGTTCGGTTGGAGGTTGAATGGTTGTTTGTCTCCCCCTTTTCTCTTATAAATTGGAGATGTTTTGAAGCATAAAGAATTGTTGAATATTTGAGCAAAGTCTCTATAAAACCTTAAGGTTTCTTCTTCCTTGGAAAAGCTTGAGAGTTAGTTCCATTTCTCTCTTCCTCTTCTCTATTTCGTCTTGGGCTTCTAACATCTTCTCTCCACAAGTTCCTCTCCACTTGTATCTTTCTTCTTGAGCTATTGGAGGTGTTTGTTGGCTGATTTGGTGACATTTGCCGGAGGAGTTTTGTTGGACGTTGGACCTTATAGCTGTGGTAGACCCTTGGTTTGCAAGCCCTTATGCACTTATCTTATTTTACCTACTTTTTGTTGCATGTGAGGAAACCGCATATCGGTGTTCTAAGGATTTTTTTTTATTTTAATTTTGTTTCGATTGTTCGATTTTTTCGTTTGTTTGGATGCCTGCATTCTAGTTTGAATCAAGTTTTATTCTACTCGTCCTAGTGTTCTCCTATCTTGCCTCTTTCTTTCTAGTTTGTCTGCATCAAGTTTGATATCAAAGTAAGTTAGCAAATCCTAGGGTGGTGTGACTCTCTTTCTTAAGAAAACAAAAATGGCTAATAATCAAGGGGATTGGTAGCAAATGATGAAACAGTTAGATTTGCAAAATCAAATAAACAACATGGCTAATACTCTTGCAAACTTAAATGTCAACAATCCTAATGTTCAAACTTCTTAAAGTGAGGAGGAAGTCCCTAGGAATCAAAATAGGCGACAAAGAAATTGTGATTACAAGATTTAAATTGATGTTCATAATTTTGAAGAAAAATTACAACCCGGCCAATTCATTAAATGGGTAGAAAAAATGGATCAATTTTTTGAGTGAAAATAAATACCAGATAACAAGAAGGTTAAATTTGCAAGCTTAAAACTCAATGGTCATGCACTCACATGGTGGAAAAATCTTCAAAACAATAGACTAAGGCTAGGAAAAAAAAAATTCAAAACTGGGAAAGAATGAAAGAGAAAATGAGAGGGAAATTCCTACTTTCAGACTACGCACGAACCATCTTTCAAGAATTTAATAACCTGCGTCAATGTAATCAAACTGTTCAAGAATACACAGAAACTTTTTACAAACTTTAATCTAGAAATGACTAAGATGAATCTGAAGAAAGAACTGTTACTAGGTATATCAACGATCTAAAATGAACAATTCAAGATCAATT